TTGTGTTTCACCTGTGGAAAATGTACCCAGGATGACAGACACATTGAATAAATTGATGTTAAGTTTTAAAACAAAATCAAAAACCATCTGTTTATTCTTCATTATGGTTCCTCATGAGAAAACCCAAATTCCAAAATTTGCATTCAGATGCAGAACTTTCTATGGAGAATCAGTCGGCTTGGAAATTCTTTTGGATCTAATAAATCTCCATTGTTGTGTGTCAGGTGGTGCGGATATCCAGGCTGTCCGGTCCAGAGCGCCCCCTAGAGGTGTTTTACTTCGTAGAGGGTCCAGGTGGGGAGAGGGTCCCGGCAGAGGTAACTGCAGCCACCATGAACCGCCTGGACCTACAGAGGGCCGCCATTGTTCTTGGACACCGAGTCCAGAGGCCTCTGGCTCAACGTGAGTGAGAAGCTAAATCAGAGACGGGTGTTCCTGGGGTTTAAATCTGAGGCATCAGGTCAGACTCATCTGTTCCTGTCCTGTGTTCAGCTGTAGAGACTCTTTCTGTTCCTCCGGCTGAGACTCAGAGCAGCAGCATTTGGTTGATCGTAGGGGTGGTTGTCCCTGTCCTACTGGCTGTCTTCATTATTATCATTCTCTACTGGAAGCTTTGTGGGTCTGAGAAGCTCGAGTTTCAACCGGATGCCATCAACACCATCCAGCAGAGGCAGAAGGTACAACTGGAAGTGGTAGATTTCCTCTGGTTGAGATGGAAACGAGTTCAACTCTGACACTGGTGTCCTCTGCAGCTTCAAGCTCCTAGTGTCAAAGGCTTTGACTTTGCAAAGCTCCATCTTGGTCAGCACAGTAAAGACGACATCATGGTGATCCAGGAGACGGGCCCACTACCTGCCCCAATAAAAGAGGCCACGCCCTCCGATGGCGGAGATCTCAACACTCCCAAGTCCAAAGGATCATCCACTAAAGCAGCACGTTCAAGTCGCCGCAGGGGAAGGTCAGCGAACTCCTGTAAAACCTCTTTAAATAGTTGAGTTTGCTAAACATTTCTGCTGCTTTTGTCACTTCAAACATTCAACTTTAAAATTATTCTCCTGTTGTCTGGATAGAAGATGTAGATGTGCCCCTGTTATCTCAAACGACTACAAGTCTTTTAGAAAAGTCCTCAACAACATTTGTCCACCTATCAATTCAGTTTATGTTCAACCAGCTGCTGGACTGAGACATTGTTCCCCTTAGGCTCAGCCCTTCAGACGGAGACTCGTTAGGAAGTGAGCAATCCAGCGGCAGGGAGTCGGCAGAGGAAAGCACCAGACCTGTGGCCACACCCAGTGAGGGCAAACACCACAGGAAGGCCCCTAAAAATGGTAAGACCTGATGATGTCATCATGTAAACTTTAAGTAGGAAGGAGTCACATATTAGGATAATGAGGAGCAGATCAACATATTGTTTTTTGATCAATTTTCTTTCCGTTTTTCTATTTATTGCACCCATGAATGAAGGGAGGAGCAAAATAGGTAAGTTTGACCATTTACACATTGATGCTACTCTTATTATTACTTACCTCACCCTCTCATACAGCTTCATCTTGCTTATTCTGAAGTAGATGCAAAACGATGCTTTCATGAGCAAAATCCAACCTGGAAAATAAGACATTTGCCAAGGCTTTTAAGGAATCTGGGGGTATTTATGTTGAGGAAGGTGACTGCTGGACTAGGAATCAGATGAGACTGAAAAACTGAGTGCAGACCACTGAGAAACAACCAGGAGAATAAACAACTGGGTAAAACAAATAAAAAGATGAGCAGCATGTGAGCTCGTGTCAGCTCTTTAATTAATCACAAGTTTAAACAGTAACATCCTGCACAGCTGAGTTTTCAAAAATGATTTTGATTGTGTGGGATGACAGGAGGAGATGTGCAGCATCAGTGTTGGGGGTTATGCAACACATCGACCTCTTCAGCTTTTTTTCGCTTGACCAATGTGCATCATGTGGGAAACAGACATGGAATCAGCACTTAACTCTGTACAGCTTCACATATTCTCCTGGACTCTAGGGGGCAGTGTAGGGTAAGCATCCACCACTACGCAACATGTTGAGAAATATAAAACATTAGTTAGTAACAACATGGCGACATCCATGAGTGTGGTGGTCTGCATGGACAGAATCATGTTGACATTAATGTAAGTTAATACTTAATAAAATGTACTTTTTGTTTTTAATTGAAACTAAAGAGATTCAGTTTTAAAATATTTCCTAAACTTTGTCCAACAAATACATTTCTCAAGTGAAAATTTGATCTGGAAAATGTTGATTGTGCTTCATGTTGCTGTTCGGAGTTTGGAACATCATTTTTTATGGGAGGTTCTTTGTGGGTTTTGATTGTAAAATGTCATTATTTCTGTCTTTTAAAACAGCATTTAACTGCAAAAACAACAATTTTGAACTTCCCTTAAACAAAATAAGCCAAGTTGGAAAATCATATAGTTTAGTTGTTAAAGCTAAACTCCAACTAAACCTCAGGTAAAATGACCAGTTTTTATTTCATTGGTTGCTTCAGTGCTTGATTTTAATCCCCTTCATTACGTATTTTTACACAATTTTTTATACATTTTAGTTTGTATGTAATTAATGTGTAGTGAGACTCTAATATACGTAAATAGTTTGGTTATGCCCGCCACTGTTGTCACCACGTGTTACAGTTGATTCAGTGATCAGTTCACCACCACACTATTTTACATTCAAATGAATACATGAAGACATTTGGCTGTGACTGGGGTCGGGTCGGTTCCCCTGCAGACTCCACTCTTCACCTCGTCTCAAACTGACAGATTTTTGTCCACCTCTTGCTGCCGACTGTCCCCATCGACTGCAGAAAGATGGAGACTCTAAGCCACCAGGACCGCGGCGTCCTCACACTTGTCCAGTTTGTTCAGGGAATGTTCTCTGACTTCTGTGAAATGATGAAAGCATCAGAATATAAAATATTTGTAGATTTAGCTGCTCTACTTGGTACCAGGTGGTTGGCTGATGTGTGTGAAATAATAACTTTTTTTGACTCCTCCTGAGAATCAGAGACTCCTTTTCGGTTTGAACAGTTTCCTGATCAGTCAGTTGTTCCTCTACCCCCAGCGGTCCCATCAGGCAGCGGTCCAGATGAACTTCTCTCCTCATCCTCCATCTTTGACCATGTTGACCGTCTCTCCCGTGGCTCTTCAGATGGAACCCGTCGCCAGGCCAACAAGGTGCAACTTATTGCCATGCAGCCGCGACCAAGTCCGCCTGCGGCACACGGCCCGCCACAGCCGAGTCCCTCCCTCACTGAAAAGGTCAATACTGAGGTAGGTCAGGCACATAATCCGCATGCTGCCATAAGTCATAATAAAGCATATTTTCTGTTGTCCAACAGGTGGCACTAAGGCACAAGTCTGAGATCGAGCATCACAGGAACAAACTGCGCCAACGTGCAAAGAGGCGGGGCCAGTGTGAGTTTCCTTCCATGGACGACATCATGGATGCTTTTGGAGACGGGCCGGTTCAGAGCGAAGCGGCCCAGCGGCTCTACAGCTCCGCCCACGACCACATGGACTGCATCCTTCAGGCCGAGGGAGCCTCACCCCTGACCCCCGCAGACTCCAGGAAAAGGTCAGGGTCGGCCAACGACATCCGAGCTGCGAAGTTTGAACTGGGATAAATCTGTGTCAGCTGTCTCTGTTTGTTAGAAATGATAAAATTATCTGGTTACTTTAAGAAATAGATGTAGTAAATGGTAAAAAGAACTCAAACATGCGTTACCTGTTTAACTTCAGGTTCTGCTTTCTTTACCTTTAGTAGTTTCTGATTATTTGGACCCTGAGGAGATAAAATCTAACTTTGCTGAATCTGTTTTCATGCTTCTCTGCACTAAAGCTGTACTTCTTGTCTCACAGGAGATAATCAAAGCAACACTTTGTAATTTAAAGATAGATAATCCAGTGTAGCTCAAAGCTGAATCAGATCCTTTTTGTGTGTTTTTTCTCTCCAGAGGGAGGCGCTCTCCTCGGGGCCGGAGGCCTCATCAAGGACCAGGAAGTCTTCCAGATACAGACAGAGATCGGCTGCTCACAGACCAGAGCGCCACCTACAGGAAGTACCCCGGACTCAACAATGTAGCGTACATGGTGGGACAAACCAAAGTTAACCATAAATCAGTCCACTGTGGGAAATATCGCAGCTGTACGGTTTTGGGAAAATGCGTTTAATGATTTGCTATGGAGCTGGAAATTATCTGGTAAAATCAGTCAACAGTCGGGCCACTAATCAGGAAACATCCGTCAAACAGAACTGGACCAGTCACAATGAGAGAGGGATGTTATGAATGGGTCTTCATTAGTGGGCGGGCTACGTCAGGTTGCAGGTTAACTTCCTGTCACTGAAATTAAAAACTGTTCAGAGTGAAGCTCTCCGTTCCTCACCTGGCCACAATGTCACCAGCAGGAGGAGAATCAAGCCAGTGTAGTGATGGATAATAATGTGTACATCATACCAAGTTAATGCTCTGGTTCTGGTGTTTTACACCACAGATGTACGGCTTGCAGCTCATCCTGCTCCAAGAGATGGCAGAACTTCTGACCAATCAGTCGTTCCTCTGCTCCTCCTCGTACAGCGGTCCCATCAGATGAACTTCTCTCCTCATCCTCCATCTTTGACCATGTTGACCGCAGTTAAAGTCATAATTATGCTCCTCCACGCTGAACAGCTGCCTGATGTCTGCTGGTCCACTGCAATTAAGACATGCAGTCTGTCGCCACTCAAATCGCTGGTGGACAATACCAAGCTTGGTGGGCTGGTGCTATCCCTGAGGTGGTTATGAAAATGGGGAAGAACTGAGCAGAGTGCATTAATCTGTTTTTTTTTTTTTTAATTAAATTTTAACATTCTCAGTGATCTAACCTGCATACCAAAGAGAATATTTGTATTCTGACAGTATTTTTTGCATCTGGCTGACTTTTATCAGTCTTTTTGATGTGTAGAAGAAGAGCACCTGCTGCACATTGTGCCAGTGGGGCTCAGCAATGCCCCCTATCTGTGTGGCATGGTACTTTGTGCCTCACCCCGCACATTTTCACTGCATGGCCAGTCAGAAAAAATCAAATATGTCCGTCTTAGTTATTGAATATATCAGACACACTGTGATCAAACATGAACGTAAAGAGAGACACTGATAAACATGCACCAACTATCTACTTTATTCCCTTGTGTGTGACACAGCGCCCCTAGAGGTGAGACTCAGTACTGCCTCACCTCATACTTCTTCCATGTATTTGAACAGGCAATGCATAAATGTGGAAATTTTGATCATAAAATTGCTGAATCTCTAATCTTACAGAAAATAAAATGATTGATAAATGGACAAAATAATTTTCTGTCATTGTTATAACCGATCTTACTTTTCATGAGGACAAGTGAGGCACTGCTTCGCCTGTTTGTGTTAGGCTGATGGTCATTATGTTACAGTGGTTGGTATGACTACCACAGTTCAGCTGAGGATTGGTCTGATGTCGCTCCGATGGGGTCTTTGTGATATGATAAAATTTGACTTTCAGATTCCCAGGTGGGCCTGTTAAGAACCACCACAGCTGAACATCTTCTCTGATCCGTTTCCTGGCAGTCGGACCCTGACCTGCCCCCAGACCACGGCAGTCCCTCCCCTACTGATGAGGTGTTTGACTCAGCCCCAGCTCCTCCTCCTTACATGCCCCCCCAGCCTTCTATTGAGGAAGCCCGGCAGCAGATGCACTCCCTGCTGGATGACGCCTTCGCCTTGGTATCACCATCTTCACAGGCCAGTGGCGTAGTGAGTGAGCTGGGCGATGGGCTGTTGGAGTCTTACCCTGCAGCCCCTATTTTCCACATTGAGGTCAAATACTTTAGTTATGCACTGTGAAATGTTTCTACTTTTGTCCGCAGAGATACGCGGAGTTGGGAGTCTCCCCCACATCCATCCAGGGTCTGCTGCAGAGGTCAGCTTCATCTGGACACTTAGAAACACGCCCAGGTCTGTAGACTGAAGGATTAACTCTGTGTCTGTGTCCCAATCAGGCAGGGCCTGGGCTCAGGAGGATACGTTTCTACTGGAGAACAACTGCAGGAGTCGGTGTACTCCAACAGGGGGAAGTATGAAGACCCTCCTTCATCTTCCAGACCCCGACCTGTTGGGGGCAGTACAGGTACAATGAGCAAACATCCAGTCTTCTGATCTTTGAGACCAATCTGAGTCACCACACTCCTGCTCTCAGCCCCCACCAACAAATTGGTGACCCAGAAATACTCTTAAGACCCCCACATACTCGGGCATACTGCGTGGACTCCGCGCGTACTATCCGTGGATGGTTGAGACTTTATATTCAGGTGTACTGATTGCCTAAAATTGTCTTGAGACAAATTTCTTTATTTACCACAATCCTAGTGGATACTAGCAAGTTTGATGAGCTAGTCGGGTGCTTAGCTTTGTTTCTCCTCCTTCTGGGAAGCCTCAACACACCTGTCAGTGCGGGACAGAGAATGGTTCACATGTTGGTTCATCCATCAACGTCAAAGAGCCGCTGCTGAGTCAGCAGAGCTTCCTGCTGCTCAATGGGGCAGAGGAGCTCTGAATACAACTGCAATCAAACAGGATCCATTCATAATAAGCTTAATTTATTATGTTCCAGAAGCACAATTTTGGTCGACGTAATAATTTGTACAGCTATCCACAATGAGCAGATACCCGATCATCAGTGCCGTTGTTTGAAAAAAACGTCACACTCAAATGATCAGACCACCTCTCTGCGCCGTTTTCTGTATAATACACCATGTCAGTGTAAATGTAGCTAATAAAGCCTGTTGCTGTGGAGCATTTTTGCTTTTTGTGACATCACTGTGTCATGTTGACTTTAAAATAATATGAAGTGATGTGACCCCCACCCTAACCTCAGCAGCTTGGTGTGTCATGAAATCCAGTTTGATGTTAACAATATTTCCACCGGGCAGCGGTCATAAAAATGTATCTTTCCACAGACTGAAGTACGCCCGATTATGTGGGGGCCTTTATTGTCTTGTCTGTGTCTTTCTGTTACCCTCCAGGGGCCCAGCTTCACCATCTGACTCAGGTGGGTTTGTCCAGTCAGATCGGTGCGTACCCTGGAGTAGGTCGCAGCATGTCTGGACCCACTGGCTCCAGCTGGCACCAGCAGCACTCAGACCAGGACCTGTCCAGACCTGGAGGTAGCAGAGAAAGTGTAAGCCATGAAACAGATGAGATCCAGACCATACAGAACAGTTCTATTGGTTAAATGACTCTGACAGGAACTTTTGGGGTACAAGAGTGTATATCTCATTTAGTTCTACCCCAACAGTGATGCTACTCACAACAGGCATGTTTTATTGTACCTCAGTCTGCCTTGTTGTGTTTTATAAATAAAGTGCAATGGGATGCTAAAGATGCTCTGAACGTCGTTCTAATCTACACCCTCGCCCCATTTGTTGAGAATTAACTCATCCTTGTATTTTCTCCAGGTGCTGTCGTTCCCTGAGTTCTCCTCTTCATCTGTTTTTCAAATGCCCAGCTCTTCATTACGGGACCCATCGGCTCCACCCCTCCTCTTAACCTCGCCCACCCCAGAATATCCACCAGAGGATGCCTCACCATCTGTCCACACATCCGCCTCTCTCATCAAGGCGATCAGGGAGGAGCTGCGACGGCTGGCCCAGAAACAGGCGGCAGTGACCAGCTACCCTTAACTGACCTGCACCTTTTCAAATCAGGAGTTACAGTAGCTGTTCTACTAGTTGGTCAAGTACCTTGAACTGTGCGGCTAATCGTAAAATACCCATGATCTAAATGGCAGCGTCTCCTGACGACCACCAGGACTTAACAGGGTTTTATCTTTTTATTTGTCTGTCCACTACCCTTTCGCCCTGCATTCATCGCCCAGATTCACATTTCCACTAAAGTGCTTCCTGGAGTAGATCACTGAGGATCGGCCGACCTGGACTCCTACACTGAATCATCCTTTTTGAACTTCTGGAACAACAATACAGCCCCCAACCATGAAATGAGAGGTCCCTCTGGAGTTGTGAAGTTGATGGCCTTTTGTGGTCTAGTCATCTACCTTCAACTCTAGGAGCTCATCCCTCCTGGCCTTCTGAAGTGGATAATACCTGTTGGAGTTCTGAAGCAGAAGCATTGCGATTGGTTTGATTTTGAACTTGGATTGTACTTCTCAATTTCTGAACCTATCTTAGTGGGAGAGTTTTCAATTGGTCTTTAGTGAACTAGTCACACATCCTGCTCTTTTGGTTAAAGCAGCATTGTTGACCTTGCTGAGTGAATGTCTCTAGGAGTTGTACAACAAACTGTTTTGCTATTGTCTTTGAGTTCCTGGTGTAAAAGGGCCCTTTAGACCGTTGGTCATTGCTCCCTACTAGAGTTATGAAGGCTGGATGACCCATCAGTCCTTGTTGAGGTAATTCTTCACATGAAGAAACTTCTGAACCCTTGTAGACCTGATGATGGGTCTTATGGTTCTACAGCAGATTATCACTTCTGGATTAAATTGACCTTCTGAATAATCTGGTATGGGTTCCCCCTTTTAGAGTTTTAAAAATGTTGCTCCAGTGTTTTCTAGATTAGTTTTGATTCTTACGTGGACTTTATTCAACCTTTTTAGCCTTCTGAGATAAATGGGAAAGTGAAAATCTGCAGCAGATCGTTGTTTCCAGGATAATTGGGCCATTGTTAACCTAGAGGGAACATGTGAAGCTCACTGTCCTTCCAGAACTTGCGGGCATTTGCCCATTCTTGGGGGTGTATCGTTCCTTCTGAAGTTCTGAAGTGGGTAATCTTTCTGGGTTCCCTGTGGTGCTAATTGTCAGCCTCATTACTTTACACATTGACCACATACTGCCTTCCATGATCCATCAGCCACGGTGATCATGTATGCATCTACGAACCATACAGAAAATATATTTGCACTGTTTATAGCAGGAGGTGCAGCAAAGTCCTGACAGCATGACAAAATACACACACAAATACATACATATATATGTGTGTGTGTGTGTGTGTGTGTGTGTTCATATAAAGGTATATAAATGAAATACTTAGAAATAGAATCCCAACGAGCACAATATTAATGTGAGAGTTACTATTGGAGTATTGAGATGTTGTGTATTTTTTATTGCTTATATATGAAATGATGCTTTAATGCTTTATTTAAATCAAAAAAAGACCAAACTACTGTTCCATGGTTGTAAACTCTTGTGTTTGAGCTTGCTGTAGATTCTGAGACCGTTTGTTGCGGTGCATCGCTGCTAGCTTGTGTGTTTGTGTATCGGTGGTAAAAAAGAAATTGCAGCAAAAGCATCACTTCTCCAGCTGTTTGTGATTTATCTGTTGCTCCCATCTGTTTTCTGTAGACCCTGAAGATGGCGCTAATGTTATGTTGGAGATGGTTCCAGTGTTTCTGTAGGAGTGTGGAGATGGGGGTCTTGGTATTCTTCTCAGCTGCAGCTGCTTCTCAGTGAACAGTTTGATGCTGCACACAAGAGGAACAGCCATGAAAAGAATGATTCCTCTTTTCAGTGAAGCTCCAAAAAAGAGGAGAAAAGGAAAAGAAATGTCACCAACCTGAGCTGCTGGTTTAGTTTAGTTTCCATGGAATTTGGTAGAACTTTTCAGTTTTGAGAGCATAATCGCTGAAAACAGAATTATTGGCAACAGACCCACACATTTAGCATCTGAACGAGACCTCGTTCAGTTTCGTGATGTTTCCAAGCGGCCCCAGCCCTGCAGCAGCAGGAAATGTCCAGAGTGAACTCGCGGTGGTAGGAGCTTACGTTGCAGGGGAAAGGTTTTGTAATCACAGCTGAAAAAAGCATAAGAAGTGCTGCTCTGGTCCAAACACACCTTGGTTCAAAGTCAGGCTGACGGTGGTTTACTGGTTTCTGCTCAGGTCAGTCAAAGAGCTGCGTTTGTCTCGCCAGCAGCTTCTTTAACATGTAACTGTTACCAAGGCTACGCTAATATGACAAGCTCTACATTGTTCAGTCAGCTTGTTGAGCAGCGTTTAGACAACTCTGTCCACACGGCAATGAAAGGATAAGGTCCTTTTTCATTTCAAAATACGAGAGTCAAGCTGAACGTTTGCACATTTCCATCAGATCCTAGAATTCCTCCTGAGGTCTAGAATTGAAATGTTGAATGTTAGAGAAGAAAAAAGCTCCTATGTTGTCCTGTTAGGATGAGCCAGCTGAATCAAAGTGTCCGTTCCTCGTTGAACTGAACTACAATAAGATAATTCTCTACTGGGCTAGTGTTGCACTTTCTGCAGTTGGGACGCTTCATGTTCTGGTTTGTTAAAAGTTCATGTGGCTCCAAAAACCCAACCTGAGGCGCAGGCCATCATTACTTTATTTTCTGTTTGTGGCAGCTTTACTGGAAGTCTGCACACATCTAGATGAAGGCTTGCTGGAGTTCAAGTGCAGTTTTGGACAAGCTTCTTCTTCTTCTGTCCCATGGTGTCCACAAGCCCAACTTGTCTCAGGAAGTCCTGACGCTTTGATTCAGCCGTTACCAGACGGCTGCGTCTCTCTGCTGAAAGAATCTGTTGCTTTCTGGAAAGCCGTTGACCTTTTGTCTGTTTGTGTTTCCACATGAGCTTCTGCTTTTCTTGGCATGTTCCACCATGTTTAAGGCTTTAGCTGTTTTTGATGTCCCCAATAATGTTCAGCATGCTGCTAAAATATGTAAAAGTTCAAACAGTGAAGAGTTGTTTCACGTCTCGGTCAGTGAGCAGTGATTAATGTCTCAGCTCATTATTCATCAGCTTTTTTTAAATACATTTCCAAATGATATTTTTTAATCTAAAAGAAGATGGCTCTAGTAAATAGTGTATAAATGAAAGTGGACATGATGTTGAATAGAAATATATAGAAATATATCTAAAAAATATTTTATCTGTGATTGCTAAATGGACTGGAAGATCATCTCGGCCTGGTGCCAACTCATCCTTCATGGACCAACTGCAGAATGCTACTGGCTTGGAACTCTGATTGGACAATGCACCTGTCCGTCAAGCTGTAGGGCTTAGCCACGCCCACAGGATCACATGGTGCTATTTCACAGACTCCAGGTGGATCTGAAAGCCACCAGATCACCATCATGAAAACGACAAAAGTCCTGCAGATGTTCCAGTCTGCAGGTTCCTCCTGAATGTTTCCAGCAAACAGTCACAAGGTGGATGTTCCTCCATGACTCGGTGTTTTCGATGCTCGCAGGTCACAGAAGATCCTTCACTAAACAGTGTCCAAAAATATTCTATTTGGAGTTTTGTGATTCTCACATCTTTTTTCTCCTTCGTCACGTTGGACCTAATAATGTACACTATCATTTTTACCTGAACTATGTATATTTTTGGACCAATTGAGTCACTGTTGTAGTGCAAAACTGGTATTTTAGATCCATTTGTTAGCAGAGCGGTAGCTGGACCGTCCTCATGGTCTCCAGGCTGCCAAGTGAACCATGAGTTGGTTGTAATGGAGTCGAAGCTTAAGTTGGGTCCAAAGAGACCCAGAATGGGAGTGAAAGACCTGTGGACACGCAGGGTGGGTTCATCCAAACTAATTCTGGGTAGTGATGAACAACTCTTGGCCTTGACCCCGCTCTGAGAAATGAAGAATATCTGGTCCTCAGTGAAAACTGCAGTTTTGTCATGAAGGAACATCCACTCAGCTGTTGCTCTGAGCTCAACCACATTCCTGTTTGTTCTTCAGAACCCGACGGCCTGCCCTGACTCGGTGAGTCCAGCTGTGACCTGATGGACTCGTGGGCCGGCCGGGTCTCATGGCGAGCCTCGCCTCCTAGACGCTCTGTGAGCTTCATAATCTGGTGTTTCAAGTCCGACTGATTGTGTTAACAGACATTAAAGAGACATTCGGAGTCAAACCTGTTGTCAAAACTTTCTGGTTTTATTCACTTTAAACTGATGAAATATTCTAAATGCTTCTCTGCTGTGCTGGAAAATCATTTCTTATATGGGATTTAAAAAAAAAAAAACTTTACAAAAGTGTTTCTTAAAATTAGCGTTGCTTTTACTGTAAAGTCCTCGGATTATTTCTGGAGAACATCGAGATGTTTTAATCCTAGATGGAGAAAATGTTCAACCCAAAAACCTCGACATTTAGTTGCTTTTGAGTCACTGCTAAGTAAACCCAACTGCTTTATTTTCTGGTTCGGTTCCAGACTGATGATGAAATCTGAGCTGCTTGTTTTCTGGGCGTTCTGGTTCTCTGCTGTTTGCGTTAATGATCCTCCTCACCTGCAGGCTTTGGGCGGAACCGGACTCCTCCCATCGCCGAACGCAGCTCCCTCCACCCGCGGGCTCGGTGATACTTCCTGATGTACCTGAGCAGGTGAGGAGGAGGAGCAGAGCGTTTCTTCATCCTCACTGCTACCATTTGCGGCATGAAAACGCAGCAGAGGATCAGCGTTCGGCTCCAACATCAGAGTAAGTCGGTTCTCTCCTTCCCTCGAGTCCACGAACCTCCTTCCGAACAGCAGGTACCGATGATCTCACATACGGGACGGGATCGGTAAGCTCCGCCCACCGACGTCAGCACGTTAAAGCCGGTTGAGCGTCGGAACACCTGAGTGCAGGTGAGGTCTAGACCAGAACTCACGTCAACAGAAGGAGACCACTGCTTGTTCTAGATTAATATTCAGTGAAAACGGCCTGAGCCACTGCGGTCCCGGTTCGATTCCCGGTCCAGGCTGAGTCCTTCCTTCAAGTCCAGCTACTGTTGAATAAAGAAACAAACAAACAGGCTTCGTGTATGTTGATATTCAGTTTTATTATTAGATATGTTGTACATGCGCAAAAAAAGCCACAAACACTTATTTTGAAAGCATTTATATTAATTTGAGTTAATTAAAGCATCCAGGAAAAATGATAGGAGGTAAAATGTAATTAGCGGTGGCTCTAATTTGGCAAATGCTTGTAAAAACTGATGGACAGCAGCTGACAGGTTTTACTTGTTGAACTGTGTGTAAAGTCTGAGCTCAGCTTGGTGCTGCAGGCCGGGAAATGTTTCTGAAAGAAACGATTCTTGCTTTAGGATGACGGACTCTATGAAAACTCAGCTGGTGAGCGCCATCCATCTGCAGCAGGTGGAAATGCAAGAAAAACCTACAGGCAACTCGCAGGGCAACAATGGTGAGTTTGATGATCAGGTAAATGCTGACACATCTGGTTTTCCTGATTAGAAAAATATCATTATTGATATGAGAAGAGAGAAATCTGAGGATGAGAGGCTAGAAATCTGGAGTACTGATGAAATTTCCAGATATCTGATTATTTTTGCTGATTCGTTACAGTTTTAAAGGTGGAACTAAAGATCCACATGGAAGTCGCATCATATGTAAGGAGGAATTATCAAACAATAAACTGCAATAATAATTCTGTACATTTTCCCTTTCAACATGTACACAAAAGTTCCCATCACATAGTCTCACTGGCCACTTTATTAAGTACACCTTGCCTGAACCGGGTCGGTACCAGTCTTCAGGACTGCTTTGACTCTTTGTGGCTGAGATTCAACAAGAGTTTCAGAAACATTCCTGTGAGATTTTGGTGCATATTAAAATAACAACAAATCGATCAGCTAGATCCATGGTGAGAAGCTCCAGGTCACAAACTTCCTAAAGATGTGCTGTGCTTCAGAGGAAGCCATTGCAGATCAGAAAACTCCATGTTGCAGCTGGTCTGATCTGGATGAAATGACATTATCCTGCTGGAAGTAGACAGACAACCTGGCTGGAAGCTTCAGCTGAAACTCAGTTGGTCATTGGACCAAGTATTGTTCTCCAACCTGTTCTGGTCCAGTTTTGGTGTCTGTGTGAATTGTAGCCTTAGTTTCCTGTTAGCTGATAGAAAGAGGTACCTGTTGTGGTCTTCTGCTGTTGTAGCTCATCTGCTTCAAGGTTTGATGTGTTGTGGATTCACAGAATCCATTCTGTGTGCTTTGGTGGTAACCAGTGGCTATTTGAGTTATTGTTGACTTTTTGCCATCTAGAACTAGTCAGCACTTCTAGTCCTTCAAAATAAAACTCCATTAGTTGATGTCCTTTACACCCTTCTACTCCATTCTGATGGTCGCTTTCAATTTCAGTCAGTTGTCTTCCACACGTCTAGATGTGTTGAGTTGCTGTCACATGATTGGCTAAGTTACTCTTTGTGTTAACAAGCAACTGGTCAGCTGTTCCTCATAGAGAGCTGCTGAGGGAACATAGTGTTTCCAAGATGACAGAACGAGTCCATGACTTGCTCCAGCTTTGCGACAGATTCTCCAGACAATTCTAGTGGAGGTGGATGTCTGTGAGGATCTGGAGGAATTTAATCTGACTGAATCTCTGGACTGTTTTCAATTGCAGCAGATGAGAAGTTCACTGTGGAACAAGCTGTGGAAACCATCGGCTTTGGACGCTTCCACGTCCTGCTGTTTGTCATCATGGGCAGTGCCAATGTGAGTCTGTCTTGGCCCCAGCAGAACTGCAGTGAAGGTGGGACATCTGCACACTGACGCTGTGTTTTCGTGCAGATTGTGGAAGCCATGGAGATCATGCTGCTAGCTGTGGTTTCTCCAGAGATTCGATGCGAGTGGCGCTTAGAGGACTGGCAGGTCGCCCTCGTCTCCACGGTGAGTTTCAAGCATAAACTCAACTCTGTGTCACAAATATCTTTGATAAAACTCTGCTGAATGTCACTCCAGTTATTTGAAATGTTGTTGAAGGTGAGCTGCAGAGGTTATGGAGACATTCAAAGCAGAATTTTGATAACATTTTCAACATTTTATTAACTAACATTTTATTAACCCTCATTAACAAAAGAAACTGTTGGAGAACTGGACTGGCAGAATCTCTGAATAGTTTGGGACTAAAGATTTGAAAAGAAGTGGAATTTCTTTCTGGAGTGATTGTTCTAAGGAGAGCGCTCCAGTAATCCATGACTACAGATCAGGATGATAGAAATGTTTGACTAAGCAGTTGATTAATGTTCTGACAACGGAAGTCTGAAGGTTTTTCTTTCAGACTTCTTAAAACAGGGAACCAAGAAACTTCATAAGTGCAGGATGATGACGCCTAACCCTAATTCCAGGCAGAGTCCTCAAAGTAACACACATCCTTGTTTTTGTGGTGGTAAAAATGAGACCATGATGATTTTTTTTTAGGTTTTTCAACAATAATTTGAGATTGTGCAATCGACAAACTATTCTGGTAGAGAGAAAAATGTCTGGACTGCAATAACAAAGTTGCTTCAAAGAGATGTAAAGTAATAATTTGCCTTTTGATTCAGCTATCAATTCATTCTGGTAGAACTCTGCCATCATCTCACATCTTCACCATTTAATGATCTTCGCAACCTGTCTTATGAAAGCTCTCTCTCTCTCCGTTTGTTCATTAATGGCCCCACTTGTTGCTGATTCACATTATTTAACGTTTTCTGGACTCCACAATAGCAACGTCCAGCCTGCTAACCCGGAGAGGATGTGTTCATTCATTCAGTGTCAATGGAAACTGGTATTATTTAACATGTATCCAAATGAATAATTTATCATAACCGCTTCAAAAGCATTTGGACATAATTTCACAATCATATTCATTGTTTTGAGGACACCAGAATAAATAGATTTGATTAATAAGGGATTATTTCTGCCTGCATTGTGAATATTTGACTTTATGACACTCGGTTTTGTCAGACAGCAGTGACTCACCACCATCAGTTTGAATCAATGACTGAATGTCGTTTTGCACTCTACAAGTATTTATGCTGTTGACGACTGACTGACCGAATGTCTCCTTCAGATGGTGTTCGTCGGCTTCATGGTTTGTGGAGTTTTGGCCGGTTACATCGCTGACAGATATGGACGCTGGAAGGTAGAAAATGGCTGATTTCAGTTGCAGTGCCATTGGTGTTTTTCTGTGTGCTTCTTCTTGCGTCTTTGTGTTTCATTCAGGTTGTGTTTGGAGGTTATGTGTGGAGCGCCTATTTCTCTCTGCTCACGTCGTTTGCTCCAACGTATGGCTGGTTTATCTTCCTGCGGAGCATGGTGGGCTGCGGCGTTGCAGGAGTGTCACAGGGGTCAGTTCACACAAAGCAGCAGTAGACTGAAGATCCTGCTCTCTGATTAGCTAAACATGGTTTGTTTGCTCTTTAGGTTTGTGTTGAAGACAGAGTTCATCCCTGCCAAGTATCGAGCTTACCTGCTGCCTCTGGGCACTGTGAGTTCTGCTCTCTCAAACTTTCTTTCTCAAAGCTACAGAAGCACTGAAGCTCTTTGTGTTTCAGATCTTCTGGATGACCGGCTCCATGCTCATCATCCTCCTCGGCATGCTGGTGGTTCCCACTATGGGCTGGAGATGGATGATCCGGCTCTCCATCACACCAAGCATCATCCTCATCTTCCTCTTCAAGGTGCAGGTTCTGCTCCAATTGTTTGTTTCTGTCATGTCTGTCCCAGTCAAAGCATGAGATGTTTCTGTTTGAACTGACGTCCCCCAGTTTATTCCTGAGTCGGCCCGTTACAACGTGTCAGCAGGGAAAGTTGATGCTGCCGTCAAAACCCTGCAGAGGATCGCCAGAATGAACCGAGCTTCTCTTCCTCCTGGACGGCTGGTGGAGCCCGCTCTGGTATTTTCTGCTTGCTGTCTTATCTTCCTAGAATTACACAGAAAATACCTTGACTACTGTGAAGACTTGTAATCCTTGCTGTGACCTGATGGTGTCAGTGTTGCATCATGGCTCAAACAATGACGCAGTAGTTTGTCAGTGCTGCATATTTTCCCATTTAAAATCCGTCTCACCCAGAGTGAATTTGACAGCTTCTGTCCATTTTCTTCTGCATGGATGAGGTCCTGTTGTTGAGTCAACACGTCCAGAAGGAAAC